TGTGTGTGTCTGTCAGTGAGTGTGTGTGTTTCAGTGTGTGTGTGTGTCTGTCAGTGAGTGTGTGTGTGTGTTTCAGTGAATGTTTGTGTAGTGAATTTGAGTAAGTGTGTCTGTCAGTGCATGCGTCTGTCAGTCAGTGCGTGTATCTGTTAGTGAGAGTGTGCATCTGTCAGTCAGTCTGTCAGTGAGTGTGTTTCCGAGTATATGTATGTCTGTCTATAAGTGTGTCAAATCAGTGAGTGTGTGTATGTCATTGTTTGTCAGTGTATATGAGAGTGTGTGTCTGTCAATGAGTGTGTGCATCTGTCAGTTAGTTTGCGTCTGTCAGTGAGTGTGCGTCTGTCAGTCAAAGTGTGGCCTTTACAGGAAGGGGTGGAGAAAATTTTAATTAGGGGGGGTACCCGAGCACCGTCCTGCCTAGGGCAGCACAAAACCTAAATACACCACTGACTACATCAATGAATCAATTAGCATTTGCTGCACTGTTTCCTTACTGTAGGGCTTAGGCAGGATTTGTTTCTGTACAGGGCACCTAGTTTTGAGCAAAATTTTGAAGAGATTTTTTTCAGTGTGAAGGCTAAAGGATAGATTGGGGTCTAGCAACATACCTAGATAGTTAAAAGAGCAGTCTGCTGTCAGTGTGCTATTTGAATTTGTTTTGATACACAGATTTTGTAGTTTACGTAATTTAGGTACCATTACAAAGATCATTGTAACAATTTTGTCAGTGTTTAGGAAGAGTTTGTTATCCGCTTTCCACTTTTCTACCTACAGGTATCTCCAAACTAATTATGCTCCCACTTTGCATGGTGGCCTAGCACTTTTGCACCTAAAATATTATCAGCACAATTTACTCCGAGGCGTTGAGGGAGCTCTAACCTCTCTGCTCTGCTCCCTCGCGCGATGTTTGAGTCATATTCTGGGTCCTGGCATCAGTAGACAGCCCGCGAGGGAGCAGAGCAGAGAGGTTAGAGCTCCCTCGCCGCTTCGGATTAGAACTCTGCCGCACGCCGAGGTGAAACCCCACTGGACCCCAGGGACAGATCCACACCAGCTCTCCAGGTAGGGAGGCTGGGTGGACATTCAATATTAATAATTTGTGTGTCTGTAAGTGTATTTGTGAATGTGTATGTGTGTGTGTCTGTAAGTAGTGTCTGTAAGTGTATGTGTGAGTGTGTGTATGTTTATCTGTGTGTATGTGTTTCTCTGTGAGTGTGTGTGTCTGTAAGTGTATATGTGAGTGTGTTTGTCTGTTAGTGTGTGTGTCTGTAAGTGTATTTGTGTGTGTTTGTCTGTGAGTGTGTGTGTCTGTAAGTGTATGTGTGAGTGTGTGTGTGTGTCTGTAAGTGTATGTGTGAGTTTGTGTATGTTTGTCTGTGTTTCTCTGTGAGTGTGTGTGTGTCTGTAAGTGTATATGTAAGTGTGTTTGTCTGTGAGTGTGTGTGTCTGTAAGTGTATGTGTGTGTGTTTGTCTGTGAGTGTGTATGTGTGTGTGTCTGTGAGTGTATGTGTGTGTGTCTGTAAGTGTATTTGTGAGTGAGTGTGTGTATGTGTTTCTCTGTGAGTGTATGTGTGTGTCTGTAAGTGTATGTGTGAGTGTGTTTGTCTGTGAGTGTGTGTGTCTCTAAGTGTATGTGTGAGTGTGTGTATGTGTTTGTCTGTGAGCAGAGTACTTGTAGAAAGAAGGAGCAGAGTATTTGTAGAATAGGAGAAAGAAAGAGCAGAGTACTTGTAAAAAGGAGAAAGAAGGAGCAGAGTACTTGTAGAATATGAGAAAGAAGGAGCAGAAATACTTGTAAAAAGGAGAAAGAAGGAGCAGAGTACTTGTAGAATAAGAGACCTTCGTTTGTTCCTTATGAAAATCGAACCAGGTATCAAATATTTAGTCTCGCAGCATCAACCTCAAGGATCTCATTAATCACTAGTAAAGGTAATTTCAATTTACTTTGTTTTCTCATTACACTTTATAAAGTTAAAAACACTATAAACATGCATAAAGTAATAATAGAAAGATAAAGGTACATACATTCATTTTTATTTTTTAAAACACCCTCCTTTCTAAAAAATATTCTGCACTTGCGCGAAAACTGGTGCGCG